TGGCAGTGACAGCCACCGCCGTGGAGCTGCTGATCCATCTCAGCCACCTGTCTTGGATCTCTGCTCATCCCTGCTGTCCCAGCCGACTGTTCCTCAGAGCCCCGCAGGAGCACCGGGACTGACTGCCCGAGGGGTTTGTGAAGCAAAGCCTCTCCTCCATCCCTTCCTGTCTCGGCAGAGAAGGCTGTGACGGGGTCCCTGGTTCTGTTTTCTTGCTAACGCTGTAGTTACTGTTGTTGATTTGCCTTGTTATAAATACTAGTAAAGAACTGTTATTCCTATGCCGAGATTTCTGCCTGAGAGCCCCTTGATTTTAAATTTATAGTAATTCGAAGAAAGAAGGTCTACATTTTCATTCCAAGGGAGGTTCCAGCCCTCCCTACCACACCTGTCTTCCAAACTAAAGCAATAGGCTTTGTTAGTGGGCTGAAGCTGAAGCAGGGAAGATTTAAAGTAGCTACTAGGAAACAATTCTTGGCTGGTGAGTATAGTGGGACACTAGCACAGAGTGCCCCGAGAAGCTGTGGCTGCCACTGGATCCCTGGAAGTGTCCAAAGCCAGGTTTGACAGGCTTGGAGGAACCTGGATATTATAAACAACTCAGACCCTGGGTGGGAACGAGTTATAAAAGTTTTATTGAGAACCAAATAAAAACACAAAGCAAAAGGGGCAGCGCCGGGAGCTTGGCTCGATGCCAGGGGCTCATTCACAAAAATGGCAGCTCTGCTTTTACACACCTGGGAAATTGCATTAGCTACATGAATATTTATGAGCAAGTCATACATATTTTAATATTTTCCTTATATATATACTTGGCACCTCCTGAGGTCTGCCAGTTGGCCCTTCTGCGTTGTCCATTGGTGGAGACCTCATCAAGATTGGAGGTGAGGTGTTACCATGCCAAGTTCCCCGGCAGCAAACTTCCCCATCCCCTGCTGCCTCTTGCAAGGGGCAAGCATACACCCTTCTCCGCACAGGCTTTGACAGCTCTGTCGGCCAGAGCTGCTAGGCAGCAACCAAGGCGGGTGTGTGTGGAAAGGATTGAAGGCAGAATAGGAAAGGGTTCAAAACCAAACTGAAACAACAAAGGACATGTTAAAAGAACCCCAAACTTTAACAGAATTTCTTTAAACATAATTGATAGCTTCCTCTCATTTGCATGAGCCAGTTGTGACACCCCATATATAACACTGGGTTAGTGGAAGGTGCCCCTGGGATGGTGCTGGATGAGCTTTCAGGCCTCTTCCAACCCAAGCTATTTTATCATTCTGTGCTTTCAAAGGCAAAGCTTTCAGCCCAAGACATCAATCCCTGACTAAGAATCTCTGTCACAAAACTGTAAATGTGTCCAGCCACACAGCTGTGTTTGTGAGCACGATGCATTGCTCTGCCCTGCCGGTGCCACCGCTGTGGCACTGACCCGGCCCTGCGGGTCACGGTGCCCGCTGTGCCACCCTCGTGTGCCGTGTGGGGCTGGGGCTGCAGGGCCGCGTTCCCCTGACGTCACCGGCCTTTCTCCGCCTCACACCGCCGGGCTGTGTCCCCTCACATTGCCAGGGAGCCCGTGTCTCTTCGGGTAGGTAAAATGGACTTTTGGGGCTAATTGTTGTAATTGGACTAAGCGTTGTAAAGGTCTCCACCTCGTGGCTGTGCTGTGCAATAAGCCAGCAGCACCAGACATGGCTGGAATTTAACTTACCAGTCATGTAGGCGCTTTGCACGTTTTGCTTACTTCCCTAATGAGCCTTTTGGGAATATTAAAACCGTGTGAGAGGAATGTGAGGGATGGTGTTAAAGCAGCGGTGTCCCGGGCTGCCCTTTGACCCGGTCACAGAGTCATAGAATATCCTGAGTGGGAAAAGACCCACAGATCATGGAGTCCAACCCCTGTCCCTGCACAGACACCCCAGCAATCCCACCCTGTGCACCCCTGGGAGCATTGTCCAAACACTCCTGGAGCTCTGGCAGCCTTGGGGCCGTGTCCATTCCCTGGGGAGCCTGGGCAGTACCCACCACCCTCTGGGGGAAGAACCTTTCCCTGATCTCCAGCCTGGCCCTGCTCTGGCTCAGCTACAGCCATTCCCTGGCTCCTGTTCCTGGGCACAGGAAACAGAAATTGGAGCTGTCCCTGTGCTGTTCCTTGGGAAGAGCTGCAGCCAGCCCCTGGTGAGCTCTGCTCTCAGTATTCTCCAGCTGAACAAGCCAAATGCCCTCAGTCGCTCCTTGTATGGCCCCTCCAGACCCTTCACCATCAAGTCCCTCCTCTGGATTTTTCTCAAGGAAGTTGAAAAGAGGAAGAGGAGGATGCTGCTTGCATTCCTTTGCATGCTGTGCACACTTTGTTTAACCTCTAGCAGACCTTAAGCAGACTCGAGAGACACCAGTCTGGGCTGGCTGGCCATGCCCATGTGCTGTGTCATCCTGTCCCTGTACCCCATGAGGCACCTCATAAGTGCAGATCAGCACTGGATCAGACTGTGGAACAGGTGGCTTTCTGGTCGGGCAAGGGGAAAAGCAGCTGAAATATCTCAGATGGCATCAAAGAGCTCTGATATAGGCTGGTTTTGTAAATGGCTGTTGGCTGAGAGGAGACACTGAAAACAACTTGTAGAAATCTTTTGACTAGATATGGCTGGCTTAGCCATAGTTTAGAAGTTCTAGAATATAACAGAGTATTTCAGTTGGAATGGACCACAAGAATCATCAGCCTAATTACCTGAGCACTTCAGGGCTGACCAGAAATTAGTGTGTTGTTAAGGGCATGTTCCTAATCTCTCTTGAACACTGACAGACCTGGGGCATCCACCAGCTCTCTGGGAAGCCTGTTCCGATGTCTGACTGCCTGCTCAGTACAGAAATGCTTCCAAATATCCAGTCTGAACTGCCCCTGGCACAGCTTTGAACCATCCTGACCCTGGATCCTGGGGAGAAGAGCTCAGCACCTTATTTTGCACATTCCTTCCTCAGTCTCGTCTCTCTAAACTAGACAAGCCCAGAGCCCACAGCTGCCTCTCCCAGGACCTGCCTTCAGCCTTGTCACTGTCCTCTGGATGCATCCAAGGACCTTCACATCCTTCCCCAGTCTAGGGACAGCCCTGCACATGGGGCTCCAGGTGAGCCCACGCTGAGCCCAGCAGGACCATCCCCTTTCTGGATCAGGGCACCATGCTGTATGCCATGTCCTCAGGATGAGATTTGCCCTCTGCTCTTCCCAGTACTGCAGTGAGATTCTGGCCACCTCATGTGACACAGAGAGCAGCCTGAGGCAGAGGATGATTGAATTCCCACTTCCTTTCCCAACCGGGCGCAGCTGGACCTTCTGAGGCAGTGATGGCAGGTCCCAAATGTGCTCTTCCCAAGAGGGACAAACACAATGGTGCTGCACTAGGCTATCCGTTGTAAGCAGAACTTGTTTTTCCTTTTCACATCCTCCATCTTTGTCCCCTTCTCTGAAGGAAACATGAGCTGCTTCTCCAGGACTGTACACAGCTGTGGTTTAAACAGTGCTGTTTGATCCTGAAGGCTGGTATTCCAAAGAGATTAGGGATCTCTATTTGATCATGAGAGCTGGGGTTCTGCTGAGGTTTGTACTAATCCTCATTTCCCACTTAATAAGGTCTTTGAATATGTACTGAAAAGGGAGTTTTGTTTAAAAAGTAAAATAAAATTGATCTTTGGAAGTCCCAAGCTACCCATGTCACATTAATATTCTCCACTTGTATGCTTCTTCCCTCTCTCTAAAAGAAAAACCACAAGCTTCATCAAGACTCTAAGTGGATTTAACTAGATCAAACCCAAATAGATCCTCTTTCTTTGCCAGGTCAATTTAAAAAAAATATGACAAATCCAAATACTATAATTACTAATATTAATTGAAAATAAAGTGTGGAACACTTACTGATTTTATCCATCCTTCAGGATGATAGATCAAAGTATTAATTTCAAAATTACCTTTCTGACAAATCCAGTGAGAATGTAAACAACTTAGATATTGAACTAATTTTTTGTACATTAGACTCATTTTTCTTCCCAATTTCTTTCTCAATTCTCTGGCAAAATTTTCCTGGTCTGAAAACAGTCAAGCCCATTCTTAACCCACCATTCCCATTTCAAAGCTCAGGAGAAGAATTCCCAGCAGTTTAATAACTGAGTTGTACCTTTGGGTTTATGCACATGCTGCTTTGTTCCAGCCCATGAGCTCCAGAAAGTATCTCTAATCTCTGCCTTTGTTACCATGGCCTGGCACTGGGAGATAAGCTTTCATCAAAAGCAGAGGTGTGACTGTGCTATGGGAGCAATATTTGGTGGAGCAGTTTCTGCTTGATTAATAAAAATGAATAATTTAGAGAGCCAGTAATCATTACAGCTGGGTCACTTTGAAATCAGAATAGTGGGTAACAGGTGATTCTGAGCCCAAAAGGGCAACCAAGGGAGGTAAGATGGGGTCCTGAGCAAACTGATCCAGTGACATCCCTGCCTATGGCAGGGAGTGGAAACGGACAATCTTTAAGGTCCCTTCCAATCCAAGCCATTCTGGGAAATACTGGAATAATACAAATACTTGTGAAGAGAGCAGCTGTTTTACTTGAGAGCTCTGTACATCCAAACTCCATTCAATATACAGAGAAACCAGCTTTAAGCACTAAACCAAGAGTTTCAGTGGTACCATAGCAGTTTCTATCTGATGTCTTGCCCAGACATCAAAATTTTACTGCCTGCCTTTTTCTGAAGGCTGTTTTGTTAGTTAAATAATTAAAAATCATACAGTCACAGAATTGTTTGGGTTGGAAAGGATCTTAAAGCCCATCCAATCCCATCCCCTGGCATGGGAAGGGATACCTCCCACTATCCCAGGTTGCTCCAAGCTTTCTCCCACCTGGCCTTGGACACTTCCAGGGATGGGGCAGCCACAGCTTCTCTGGGCACCCTGTGCCAAGGCCTCACCACCCTCACAGGGAAGAGTTTCTTCCAAATATTCCATCTAAAGTTATTCTCTTTCAGCTTAAAGCCACTTCCCCTTGTCCTGTCACTCCATGCCCTTGACAAAGTTTTTTTCCAGGTTTCTTGTAGGTCCCTTCTGCAGAACAACTGTGGCATCAGTGAAATAAAACTCCCATATTTAAAACCAATTACTGAAACCTTAGAATATTTTATTTTGCAAGAGACTGTAAACCTTCTACTTCCAGACTTTTTTTTTTTTAAATTTAAGACCCTTGAGAACAATCCCTTCATGAGGACATCTACAGTAGAGTTTCTAAAATATATTAGAAGTATACATTGCCTATTACTACTTATTGATTTGCAGAGAAGGTTCACTCCCTGCTTCTTGGGTTCTGTGCTGGGAAAGTCATATTGAGCATCACAGAGTGGCACTACCGGAAGAGGTTAGTTGGGTGCTGAATATTGCAGTTCAGCTGTGTATTCACTCTGTTTATTCTGGTTTTGAAGAGTGGATTTAAAAGTACTTTAACCAGAACAAAAAATACAACAATAAAAATGGTAACTGCAAGCAACAGGAACTAAAAGACTGTAACAAGAATCTAAAGAAGTCTGCAGAAATGCTTTGATCACAAGAACACTCCCAAACCCTGCAATACTGCCACTGGTGTTATTAAGCAAGAATAAATTTTATCTTGGGATTCAAGAAGTATAACAAAAAATATGATGCACTACCTTCCTGTAAATTATCTTATTATACACACAGAAGTTTATATTTTAAGTTATTAAAGTGTGAGTATCTTAAAAATCTTCACAGCAGCTCAGGAAGGCTAGGCAAAGACAGTAGGTGATTCTGCAGACACTTGAGATGTTCTGTGGCTGACAGACATGGAAAGAGCACTTCCCCTCACCTTCTGCTCATCTACAAGCCATGGAAAGGAGAGGTCTCTCTATATTTTACTTACTAGATTCTAAAACTCATGAAAATTAATTTATTACTGTTGTTACATGTTAGTTAGTGGGCACAGACAGGGGTAGAAAGGAGTCATACAGAACTTTGCCAGCAGACCCATGTGCTTCAGTAGCAGTCCTACTAATCTAGGCCCTGCATTTTTGGAATTATTATACATGCCAATATACATGGCACCCTAATCAGTGGATTCAGAAACTCTCCCAGTGAAAATTAAATACAGAGACAGGAGAAATGGGAAAGTTGATCAGGCTGCCTGTGTCTGGAGTGTGGCCTCTCATACTGAAGGAGCAGCTTATTCTGAGTCTGAACACATTATTGCCTGGTTAAACAGGAATGGTCTGATCCAGAGATGGCGGGAAAAAAAGTGAAGGAGCCCCTTCACTTCTTGAGGCCAGGAATGTGTTATTGTTTGTATTTAACAGGAAACATTATTTCTGACACCTTTCAGCATAACAGACAACCTTTTGCTTTCACTCTTAGACCCAGAAGTCTGAAGGCAGGAGGTAAACCTGCCCAAGACTAGAGCACTGAAATAGGACTGTCTTTTTAGGTGTAGCTGTGATCATTCCTTATAGGAGCCGTTCCTGTGCATAGGCCTGCCACTGCAGTTGCAGGAACAATTACTTTTCCCAGCTCAGCTTATGTCAATTACTCATGATGTGAATTTACCAAGATTCACTGTGGTTCTTCAGAAAGGACTTGGCATTGAGTTACATGAAGTGAATCTGCTGCTAACTGTTTTGGAGCACAGACAAACCACAATCAGTGACCAGAGCATTGCTTGATGCTTCAGTGCACTGGAGCAGAATGGGCTTGCTTGTCTCACATGCTGCTGTAGCTTGGCTCCAAACCAAGTTTCTCTCTTGTAAGTCAGGCATTATAAGAGAAATCAGCCTGTCACAGGGCACTGGAAAAGCTCACTTTAGATGGAGGTCTTAGAGTAGTGACAGGAACCACTGCTGTGTTCAGACTGTGCCCAAGGGATTTGGTGACCATAGGGGAATAACCTCTGCTACTTACAGCTGACTTTAGCCCCGCACTGCTGCAGCATCAACCTCCTGAGGTCCATTCACAACCTAATTTGACACCCACTAGAGCTGCAGGCCAGTGGGTCAGCTTTGGTACATGTTACAAGGTAAAGCTGAACAGCCTGCCAGGGCTTTGCAGACCAGCTGCAGCTGTAGCTGTGGGTATCTGTGAAAACAAATAGATAGATGTTCTCAAGTCTCAGAAAATGAGCTTGAAATCCTAGCAGCATAGACCTGTGGCTCCTGGTCTCCAGTTTGCATAGCTGCAAGCCTGGTTGCCAGGCTCAGAGCATCAGCATCTCACCCAGCCCCATCTCAGAGCCCTGCTCTGTGCTGGGTTCACTATCTGTGACCAAAGAGTGGCCACAATCAGAATGGTGTCAGTTCACCTGTGCTAATTCAGAAGCCTGGTCCCAAGTAGTGCCAGGGGACATTCACATTGGATATTAGGAAAAATATCTTCATGTAAAGAGTGGTGAAGTACTGCCACAGGCTGCCCAGGGCAGTGCTGGAGTCACCATTCCTGCAGGTGTTCAAAAACTGAGCAGACGTAGCACTTCATGATATGCTTTATTGGGCATGGTGGGATTTGGTTGAAAGTTGGACTCAATGGTCTTAGAGGTCTTTTCCAATCTTCATGATTCTGTGATTCCTTCCATCTTTGATGCAGAGCTCCTGATACTGCTGGTTCCTACTTTGGGCACCATTTGGCTCACTGCACTGAGCTTTGCAAAACCAGTGCAGAGAAGGGTACAGATGGTCTTGTCTGGGGCAGTGAGTGCTCTTGGAAACACCTGAGTTCTTTCAGTGGAAAGCCAACAAAATCACCCCAGAGCAGACATTTTATCTGGAAAATTTCAAACTAGACCATGAGTCTAACAAAAGAGTAAGGCCCTGACAGCAGATTTGGAATGGAAACTGCCAGGTAACCTGATGCCAAATGATTAATTAGCCATTTCTGTCTGGTATGTGTGTGTGTGTGTGTGTGTGTGTTAACAATTATGTTTTGTAAGAGGAAAACTTTTATCACCCTTTCCTATGAAAGGCTTTTTATTCTTATTATGAATAAAGACTCAAGTCCACTCCTATTTAACTCATCCCTTTAATCCTAGAAAATGCTATGCCTGACAGAAGGCTCACATTTCACAGTAGAAGGAGAAACAGACAATAATGAAAAAATTTATATGCAAAACATTCCAAGTTTTCAGAACACCTCTGTTATGCCAAGAAGAGTGTGACTGTGGAGAATACAGTCTATGCTGGTAGTAAAACAAGCTCTCCACTACCTAGAGGTCTTGGAAAGTTATCCTTGTTAACTGCTAGGGAGGTGCTAACTTACACTCTTGTAGGATTTTAAAGGACGCTTTGGTCTTTAAGGGCTTAAATGTAAAAACTGAAACTGTAGACTAAAAAAAATAACTCAAAAATTATAAACTCATAAATTGGGTGAACTTGGTTTCTTCAAATGCCAGGAAAACACATCTCACATTCCTGAAGATATTTAGTGCTCTGTGGCTGAAGAAATCTAAAGCAGGATTTTTAATAATGTGAGAAATATTTAAATTAGCCAAGTTGACACACAGACAAAAATATAATATTGGGATTGGAACTGTGAGCTAACACTTTCATTCAGATGAGGATAGGTGGGGAGAGAAATGCCAAGCAATTTTCATCAGTCTCAGCCTGTACAGACAGGTGCCTGGAATCTGGACTTACGTTTGGTTTAAAACATAATACCTTTCTGACAGACTTAAAAGGAGCAAAACCACAACTCTGGAGAACTAAACATTTATTTTCTTCTTTGTTGTGAAAATGGCACAAACACCAAACTCATTCCCATTCCTAGAAAGGTTTGAGGCCAGATTGGACAGGGCTTGGAGCAACCTGGGCTAGTGGAAGGTGTTCCTGGCAGGGGCTTGGAATGGGATGAACTTTAAGATCCCTTCCAACCCAAACTTTTCTAGGATTCTATGGTTTGTTGTTCCATGAAGTAGTTTTATTTCATGATTTATGATCAAGGGGTGCCTAGATCTCTTTCACTTCAGCTTTATCAGAATACACCCACAGGACAGCTATATCTAAATTCTGTCATGGGGTGTTGATGTGATGCTGAACCCTAACTCACTCCTCCTGAGAAATTAAAACTAGAAGAGTTCATTCCAAGGCACGAGGTGCAGTAATTAAGCTCATCTATCAACTGTATTCCAGAAGATAGCTCCTGGTATGAGAGGAATGGGATGCTTTATGATTTTATCTATGGTTTGAGTGTCTGTCATTGACTCCAAAACAAGTTTTTGTCTGTAAAGCCAAGTGCCAAAGTAGCTGCCCTTTGTAACTCAATTACAATTCAAATATGTAATTCAAATATCAAATACTATGATATCTGAAGTAATTTCCTCTTCTTTCAGAACCTATTCTGGGTGTAAGCCAGGAAATATTACTGCTTGCCTGACAGATAAGAGATTGCAGAGCTATGTTCTGGACTAATTCTGTTAGCACTGCATCAAACATTGAACCTCAGGTCCCTCTGCAGTGTATAGGACTTGCTTTAGTAGTAAAATAATTGAGAATACTTATGCATCTCCAAAGTTGCTGTTACATGTTATAGATTGTCATGTGATGGAACTTTTTTAGATTTTTCTGAATAGAAAAGTTAATTTTAAGTAATTCAGAACTATTAAGGAGACAACAGAAAGTATTAAATGCCAGATTTTCTATTGTCAAATTATTAAACAAATCTATCACTGAATCAATTTTAAAATTAGTTTACTCTAAGTAAATACATTTCCCCCCCAAATATAAAAATTACTCTTGCTTTTTGAATTCTCTTATCACTAGAATCTCTGTGCAACTTAATTTACTTTCCAGAAAACCTTACTGTAGATAAGACTTGTGTAAATATTATGTACAAAACATTTGGACATAGGGATGGGTCTGTGTGTATCTGTGGTATTTGCTGCTATTTTAAGGCTGTTTTCAATGTCATGTGTGAAAAGTAATTTCATCCTATTATTCTCTAACTTTATTAAAAATAAGCCTAAAATTCATCCTTTCTATAATCCCTTCTCACAACATTTCGTTGTGATGTACCAGCAGAGGGAGATCATGTTCTTGTTCTTCCTCTTGCTTTCCTAACACACCTGGTTGCCTAATTGTAAATGTACTGATAACCTTGACATGGCAAATAGAATATCTTGAAATTCTCCAAAATACAATCCTTGTAAATGACAAAATTTTAATACACCTTGCAAAAATATTTTTCAAAAACTTTCTGAATGCAACAGGCAATTACTCCAGCAGTGAAAGCAGTAACTGTGTAGTAATTTTATCTGTTTTCATAGAATCATGGAATTGTTTAGGTTGGAAAAGCCATCCAAGATCATTGAGTCCAGCTATTCCCCACCACTGACCCCAGCGCCACATCCTCACATTATTTGAATACCTCCAGGGATGGGGACTCCACCACTGCCCTGGGCAACCTGTTCCAATGCCTAAACACTCTTTCCATGAAAAAATTTTCCCAGAAATCTCCAATCTAAATCTCCCCTAATGCATCTTGAGGTCATTTCCTGTAATTCTTGTTTTGTTACCTCTGTACATCTTGTTCTCTATAAATATAACTTGATGTAAAGTTCATGCACGCAACATAATGCATATACATGGGGATTTCTTGGAGAAATCAAATGGGAGATCTCCATGGACTGGAAAAGGAGCTCCAGGTGTTTAGGGTGGATGTGGACACACATGGTCAGTGGAGATCCTGATATTTTAGGAGCAATGAACCCCTGCCCCCACTGCCTCATGCACTGTATTTAATACACAACCACAAGTAAGGTTTTCATGAGGACCTGGCTGTGGGTAAAAATAGCTTGGAATAACGGATAATTGGCATGAATTCCCCATGTGCAGAAATAAAAAAAATAATTATACGATTTATTAATCTTCGTGGAACTGATCTTGAAAAATTACCTTTATGGCATGGTTCTTCTTCTGGTTTCAGTGTGTTCCCAGTCTTTTTATGGAGAAATACGGTACTTTCTCATTAGATATTTAATAGCTTGAAATCTTCATTCATCAGTTTATCTTCTCTTTTGTTTTTCCAAGTAAGCAGCAGAGCAGGTTCTAACTTTGTCCTGGTCTTGCTCCATAATTGTATTAATGAAGGCAGCAAGTCCGCTTCTGAGCCAGAAACAAAACTTTTGACCCCTGACTTCTATGTCATGATCACAGGATGGCCTGTTTTATAAAACAAATGTTTTATAACCAAAAGTAAAGTGATTTCATCTTGCAGATGAGAGATGATTCAGTGCTACAGCAGGGTGAAATGGTCTCTTGGCTCAAGCACAGGGTTTGTTAAACAAACTATTCCAGTTGCTACAGCTACTTATGCCTGTGTCTTACTCTTTCACTGGGAGAAGTTTGAAATGTCTTGAACTATGAATCAAACTGACATTTATATTTAAGCAAACCTCCGTGGAACAGAAAGAAGATTCAAAATGGCAGAAGTGTCTCTGCAGGACTTCTAGATTCTTCATAATGTAAAACACAGCATGTTAAAATACCTATTTTTTACCACTTTTACATTAAAAGCTGCCTGTCATCAGAAATGCTTGTAAAATACAGGGAACTGCTACCATTCACCTGTCTGCTTTGATGCTGCTGTAAAGCATTAATTGGCAAAGCCATGAAATATTACAGCAGACTGAGTTTAAAAATGAAGCAGAACCCATAAAACACAGGATGGCCAGAATTCAGCCAGAATTCAGCCAGACACTATAGGTATGAACATTTCAATACAGATTTCAGTTCCAAACTTATCACTTTATAGATGTAGGGTAGGACCAGGGAACATAGCCTGTAGCTTAGTTTCAGATTCAAGCCTTTTGGGAAAGTAGAGATCAGAAACTTGCAGTTTTTCAGCACCTGGGTTATGTAATAAAATCATTCCTACACAGATGCAAGAATCCAAGGGTTTGTTTCCTTAACTAGAGCAAGTTGTTCCTAGTCATGGATTCTGGAGAAAATTCATTATGTATTACCCTTTCAAAGAGTCAGAAGTAGAACTAAAGTTACATACATCCCATTTTTATATTAAATCACATTTTTCATATTGTTGGCAAAGGTAAGGTACCTCACAGGAAGCTGTGAATCCTCTGTGACTGAAAGACCTTGAGATTGTTCAGTATAGAGGCTCCTTGGTTCTGTCTGCAGGACCGCTTTTAACCATCTTCAGTGAAATGCCTTGGTCACAGAGCAGAGATGAGTACTAAAAACACACTGTCCATGTTTGAGAGCAGCTGCACAGATGAAAACCACAGGGCACAGGCTGGAAAAGGGTCAGAGTCCCTTCAGAGTCTGAACCCTCATCATATAATGGCATTCATATTACAAAATCTCCCCCAGAAGTTGTGCAGGTCTTTTCATGTTCTCTGTAGATGAGTATGAAGATTATAACCATATAACCACAGATTAATCTATCAGCTCTTTCTCTTTTCTGCACTTTGCTTATCTTTGATTTTTCTCTAAGCAGCAGCTCCAGTGAGCTGCATTACCTGTTTCCAGGCTCCTGACATACCTGCTAATTCCTGTTGCAGCATTCCTGTCCTGGGATGGCACTTTAACCCTGTCCCTGCCAAAAGCAGCATAGGTTCTGCCTGCATGAAAGATTTTGAGACAAAAAAAAGTTTATTTTTAGTTTTAAAGCAGTGAATTTACACCTCTCATATCCAGGACCAGAGTGTTTGCATACATAAAATACAAAGACAGGACTAAAGGCTGGCTAAAAAAATAAGGTCAGTGAACTGGAGAGATCTCACTCTGCAATACACACATTTCTCACAGGGAGAGCCAAAGCCACCTACCCAAAACAAACAGCAACTGTTCCCTCCTTTTCCACAATAATCAAGTTCAAACACACACACACACACACACACACACAAAAAAAAAAAAAAAAAAAAAAAAAAAAAAAAAAAAAAAAAAAAAAAAAAAGAGAAGGGATGGGATGGGACTTTCAGGACAAGTTGGAATAAAAGGTATAAATGCATAAAAAGCTTTATGGAGTTCAAGAGGAAACAAAATATTGCCAAATGTCTGTGACAAGGCAGCCTAGAGTATCTGGGATACGTGCAGAACTTGCTGGCCAGGAGAGAGGTGTCGTGAGAAAGAGCTCTGGTGGATGCAGCCTGCTGCGAGTGGTCCACGGGATCCCAGGAGGAGCATCTGTTTTGGGACCAGCAGTTGCTGTAATTAGAGAGCAGCATCAACTTTAAAAACAATCATTTTGATGTTCTCCTTCAGATGGAAACTTAGGTTTTTGAAGTAGAGTCTTGTTTATTATAAATGAGGATGAAACAGACAGCTCTTTCCTCATTAGCAGCCACTGGACAGTAACTATTTTTAGCTGCAAATTACCAAATGGGGCAGATCCAGACAGAAGCACAAAGGGTGAAAAGTATTTCCTTCCCAATCTTTTAAGCTAGTATATGAATTTTATTTGTTTTAACTGAGATGAGCTAGAAAAGGAATTAAACAACTTAGTTCTTTACTCTAAAGCTAATACTTTACAACTGTCCAAGATAAATTCATAGGGAAAGACTCATGGACTGCTTGGGTTGGAAGGGACCTCTAAAGTCAGCTGTCCCACACTTTGCCCACACTCGGTGTGAAAGTACAGGAGTGTGGTGGCAAGGGTTTACACTATTAAGACCACATCTGTTGGATGCTTTCATGCTACCAAATTGCATAAAGAAAATGTTAAATTGTAGCCCCAAAACAGGCACAAAAAGATGATCAAGGTGAAATTAGAAATGCTTAGAATTAGGAAGTGAGAATACAACTGAAATACCTGTGTGTATGAAGGAGACTCCAGCAGACCTTGTGAGGGTGGTACCCACTGTGTCAGAGCCAGGCCTGCTCCCTCTGGGGTACCCTGACCCCGCTCCCCTCCATGTCCTGCCCACACCCTGATAATCCCCAGGTGTTCCTGTCTGGGAACTCCCACAGTGCCATGGTCTGACCTCAGAGTGCCTGTGCTTTGCTCTCATTCTGGCATCATGTCAAAACCTTACTGTAGAGCATGTCAGAAGGAACACAAGGATTTTTTTTCCCATAGATTAATATTTGGCAAACTATGAAAACCACTTCATTGGAGAAGAAGAAAAAAAGTTGTTCCTCTTGCTACAGGACTTTCTTCCTGAAAATTTCAGAGGCCTGCTGTGAATAATAGTGTCAGAGCTTCCAACTGCAAGGCTATTTTATAGTGGAAAGTATGAGGCAACCAAAACAAATATCAGTTTCCACTGTTACAAAATAAAGATTTTGCTTTATGTTGTACCTTAAAAGCCATGTTTAGGGACATGTGTTTTGGGACACAGAAGTAGGTACCCCAGAGGGTTATTTTTTCATATAGGCATTGGGTTTGTTATTTCTTGTTCACAGAAAATTGGGAAGTAATTTGAGACGGAAAGAACACAACGGCTTTATGATACAAAACATAATAGGATTTTGTCTTCCTAAAGGACTAAAGGCAATCCTTAAATGCAAATGCTGCCAGTCCTTAGGATGTTTGAAATACATATTCCTATTTAATGGCGTGAGTGCATCTCTCCTTACACAATTTGCGAGTATTTTTGACAAACCTGGTCCTAGTTTTCTGCTAGCAGAGTTACAGATGAGACAAGTTTTCCATGGTTTTGGGTTTTATTGTGAATGCTTCGCACAGCTCTGGTTATGCGCTTCCTTCTCATGACATCAGTGCTGAAGGGGAGAAAGAACGTAAACATCTGCTTTTTATAATTCAGTTCCAGGCTTATAACTTGATTAGGATAAGCAATGTTTCTACATGATTTATTTTCCAGTCACAACAATGCACAGTTTTAGCAGCAATTTGAAGATTAGTAAAATAAGGATGGAAACTAATGAGGTAAATCCTTCTTGATGGTTTACCTTTCTGAGCTGCACTGAACATTGTGCAAAGGCTGGGGATTTCCCTTCCACTTGGTGTTTAAAATGATGTCCTGTTACTCCCCACAGTGCAGGATGCAGCCCATGGAAAGGAGGCTTACACAGCATTACTGAGGTGAGCTGGAGCAAAGGGAATTTGGCTCCTGACTCTGTAGAGCCTTTCTGTGTGGCATTGAGTCAGGACAGAGTTTTCCAAAGATGCCCCCTGGGAAATTGCTGCATCCCTAAACAACTAAGAAGGCCTGAAATATAAAACCTTTAATCTGTTCCACTGCCTGAAGCAACCACTCTGGTTGCTTCCTTTCCTTTGTTTTCCAGGCTTTTTCTTGCACCAGGAACTGATGGTGCCTGAAGTCATGGTCCTGGTCACAATCTAGAGTCTTTCCTACTCCCTTTAAACTATTAAATTTAAGGATATGCTCATGAGCACTGAGGAGGGCTTCAGTAGTTACGGACATGTAATTGAAACCAAGGGACAGCCAGGGCAGTAGTGCATGTCACAGTGATTTCAGTCTTGTATCACGTTTCCAATAATAAAACACTAAAAAATCACAGAATCTCAGAATGGTTTGGGTTGGAAGAGACCATAGAGCTCACCCAGTCCCACCCCATGCCATGGGCAGGGACACCTCCCACTATCCCAGGTTTCTCCAAGCTCTCTCCCACCTGGCCTTGGACACTTCCAGGGATCCAGGGGCAGCCAGGGTTTCTCTGGGTACCTTGTGACAGGGCTTCCCAACCCTCACAGGGAAGGTTTCCGTTCCAATATCCCATCTGACCCTGCTCTTCTGGGACGAGCCGGCACCGCCACCCTCACCTGCGGCAAGTGTGGGCACAGACCCCGGGCCGTGAAGGACAGGTCCTGCTGGGGGGTGGCCGGGGCGGGGGGTGGGAGGACTCCAGGTGAGACCGGAGACCCGGAGGTGAGGGAGGGACCCCCTAGTGAGGGCGGAAACCCTGAGGTAAGGACAGCGACCCCGAAGTGAGGAGGAGATCCCAGGTGAAGGAGGGACACCGAGGTGAGGGCAGGGGCCGCAGCGGGCCACGGGAGGCGGGACCAGGGCGGGCACCACCTCAATCCACAGCCGCTACTCCCGGGGCGGCAGCCATCCG